CTACGATTGTAAAAGACTTGTATTTTTCATTAAAGCCTTGCTGGCTCATCATTTGTAGTTACAGTGCTGAGTTCACAATCATAACAAAATCTGCTGATGTCCAGCCCCATTTCTCAGATCAGAGTTTGACATCATATTAATGGTGTCCTTAACGGCTGCAGAGAAGAGTCAAACTTTACCTCATTATTACAGTACACACCATGCAACGCTATGCTGTCACGTGTTTCAATTCTCTACATCTTGTATGGACAAATACAAATAATTGGCTAAACAAATTGCAGTTAGTCAGTATTGGGAGGTCCTACCTTAATTTTTTTGGGTTTCTGTTTATGCTTTCTGCCCTGAAGCACGATGTCTACCTCTTCTTATCTTCACACACTGTCATCTTGCAGAATCTCCAAACTGAGTTTCATCACTCCTTACTTTCACTCCATCTTCTCAGAGCAGGTGACAAGCAGAGAGAAAACAGAGGCTACTATAAACTGTGTGGATAGCTGCTACTGGCCCCGGTCACACGCCCGGCAAACATGGCCTGAGAGGCTGTGATAATAAATCCATTGTGAAATCCACACATGAATATAACGTCATCGTCATTGTGTTGGCAACATGAAGCTAAACAGAGTTGCCATGTCATGCACTAGATGATGGATTAGGTTTTTTTTTAGATTTAGCAGTCACTCCATGCAGCATCTAATGGAATCATCTAAAGCTCTCCTTAAAGTTAACCAAATTTGCGTTTCTCTTATGTTCTGGACTGTTATGGACCTTGTAGCTTCACCCTGGCTGTCACGAGCGCACTCTCTCACACAAAGCGTTTCTGTTTGAAACAAAGTCAGATTGTTGTGGACAGGGGGAGCGCAGCTTCCAGACACATGTGGCTGCATTTAACCCTTCGCATTCATGGGACAAACCCCTGCAGTTTTGGACACGTACAGTATGCAGAAGCTAATGAGGAATTGCAAGTTATCCATTGTTATTGATTATCTAATAAAAAGAATTCTAACGTGAATTTGTCACATAAATTATTGTACAAAGTTTACAGATAAACACGAAAGGTACAAGAACCAGATTACGAAGCCGGATATCGGCTGGCCCCGGTCCCTGCCTTCACCTCAGAGTCCCTCCTTGAAGATGGGGAGGCTACAGGCAGGAGGATTCTGGGTACTCTTTTGAGCCGTGTCATCTGGAAAGAAAACATGAACTGCTACAGACTGAGGGTCACGGTTCCCACAAGCTGAATGACGATGATTATACGAAAAAAGACACAGGGGCTTTAAATCAATACTTTTTGTGAAATAAATGAGAATCACTTCTAAATCTATCATTGATATGAATTTATATATATATATATATATATATATATATATATATATATATATATATA